CGGTTAACATCTCCTTTAACTCCACCCCCTATAAAGAACCTCCTACCACTAGAACTTCGTTCTATTATCAACGAGCTGATTGGGACGCGTTCCGTGATTTCCTCCGCGATGTCCCCTGGGATGGAGTCTTTAAGCTCCCCGTCCAAGAATGTGCTTCTGAGGTCACTTTCTGGGTTAAAGCTGGAATCGACGCTTTCATCCCATCAAGGAAATATAGGGTCAAGTCGCGCTCCTCCTCCTGGTTCTCGGCTGCTTGCTCAGCCGCCATCGCCCATAGGAACCACTACTTCCACCTATACCGTAGTGACATGTCTGACTGCAATAGACGTCTCTTTGCCTCCGCCCGTAACGAATGTAAGCGTGTCCTCAATGATGCTAAGTCACTATTTGCGGCTTGAATGAAGGAACGTATTGCATCTCGCAAATTTGGCTCCAAAGATTATTGGCGTCTCTGCAAGAGCGTATTGAACATTTTCAAACCCTCTATACCTCCTTTATTCAACCAGTTCGAAGTCCTGACCTCCTCTACCGACAAGGCCGTATGCTTTGCTCGGAAATTTTCATTCAAATCTACGATCGACTCTTCCGGTGTACCCATACACGACTTCCCTCTTAGAACTGAGGCCATATTGAGTGGGTTAAACATAACCCCATCTTTGGTACTGGGCGTTATCACTAATTTAGATCCCAACAAAGCTAGTGGCGGTGACGGGATACCAGCCATTGTCTTGAAGAAATACGCGCCTGAACTGGCGCCCGCCCTTTCGAAACTATACAACTACTGCCTCAAGGGATCTTGTTTTCCTGACTGCTGGAAGTCCTCTTCGATCGTTCCTGTCGTCAAGAACTCCGGCGACCCATCTGACCCTTACAACTACCGTCCTATCAGTCTCCTTCCCCTCTTCGGCAAAGTCTTCGAAGCTCTAATCAATATCGGGGTAGTTAACCACCTCACATCCAATAATCTGCTCTTTGACTAGCAATATGGTTTCCGCTTTGCCAGATCTACAGCCGATGTGCTCACAGCCATCACTGAAACAGTCTACCGAGCTCTCCAAAATATTGGGGAAGCCCGAGCCGTAGCACTTGACATCTCCAAAGCGTTTGATAGGGTTTGGAATGCCGGCCTTCTGCGCAAGCTCCAGGGTTATGGCATTACGGGTCGATTCTATAACCTAATACAATCATTCCTGTCAAACCATGAATTGAAGGTCGTTCTCAACGGATTCTCCTCCAGTTCCTATCCCATGAACGCAGGTGTTCCCCAAGACTCCATCCTAGGCCCCACTCTATTCCTTATCTACATAAATGACCCTCCTGACGCCGTAACTTCCCAAGTAGGCATCTACGCGGGTGACACCACAATTTATTCCTGCCTCAAAAACAAATCTAGTCTCGCTGACAAAACTCACCTTGCCGTGCGTCTCGAAAAGGACCTCCAATCGATTGTGAACTGGGGCATGAATTGGCTGGTCAACTTCAACGCTTCGAAGACAAAACTGCTCTCTATTAATCACTACAGAGAGCCTTCCTTCCTCCATTAGAATGCCTGACGCTCAACTTCTCGAGAGCAACTCTCTGCGGCTTCTCGGTCTCACGTTGACTGCTGACCTGAGATGGAATAAATACATCGAGTCAATTGCCTCGTCCACCGCGAGGAAAATTGGCTCCCTGAGCCGCGCCAGGAAGTTTTTCTCCCCGGAGTCGATCCTCCAGATCTACAAATCCACAATTCGCCCTTGCATGGAGTATTGCTGCCATATATGGTCTGGTGTCCCTTCTGTTTGCCTCGGGGTTCTTGATAGGCTCCAGAAGCGGATATGCAATATGGTTGGCCCTGCCCTGGCGTCTCGTCTACAGTCACTTTCTCACAGACGCGCCGTCGCCTCCCTCTGTCTGTTCTACAAATACTTTCATGGAAATTGCTCCGAGGAGCTGCATTCGCTGGTTCCCAGACGTCATGAGTTCCAGCGCCCTACGAGGCTGGCATCCCGCTCTCACCCCCTCACTGTCGAAACTCCTAAATGTAGCTGTCTCTTCTACTCTAATAGCTTCATGTCTCGCACCTCTCGCCTGTGAAACTCCCCTCCTTTCTCCTGTTTCCCTGCGAGCTATAATCTCCAGCTATTCAAGTGTAATGTCAATCGACATCTCCAGTTGCCTTGATCTATCCACTACCCTCATCCTTTCTTCTATCACTCCTATCTGATCTTGCTATTTCTTGTAACCCCTTGCATCCTAGTGGCTTCCCGCCTTGCTTGGGGTGAAACGCTTAAATAAAAAAAAAAGCCAACAACATTTCAACAGCTGAAGGATGAGATAATAAGGGATATTGGTGAGATCGAAGAGCAACTATGCAGAGACGTCATGAAAAGTTTTGGGCATCGAGTGCCGTCGAAGCCTTGGCGGACATTTGGACGATATTATTTTCCACATATAATTAACATGACTTAAATAACATGATCCAATGGAGAAATAAATAAATTTTCACCAGTAACAATGATTTATTTACTGCTGACTTTGATCAGTCTTAATTAAACTCGTATATATATATATATATATATATATATATATATATATATATATATATATATATTCATGAATTATTCACACAAAAACAAAGGCAAAGGTTAATGATTTAATTGGCGAAATCCATCATCGCAAACAATTCAAATAATATACAAAAACCTCCGAATCCGTTATGAATGAATTATCCTTGTTTCCATAAATTTCTGCCGTATTAAAATCAAACTTTTACTGCTAGCTTTCGTCTGTTCCAAAAACAATAGAATATGTTGTTCATTTTCAATATATAAATAGATATTGTTCTTGTTTTTTTCTTATTAATAAGAGAAAAACAAAAATATCTATTCTTATCCTGAAAATGCTATAGAAAATGACGAAATTGTTTTTGTAGTAAAAATAAGAACTAATACGGCAGAAATTTATTTTAAATTTTAAATTCCTCGTTCGGATTCGAGGTCATCATATTATTTGAATTGTTTGCGATGATGGATTTCTCGCCAATTAAATCATTAACCTTTTGCTTTTGTTTTTGTGTGAATAATTCATGAATTTGTAAATTGATTGCACGTTTATCGTAATATATATATATATATATATATATATATATATATATATATATATATATGTATGTATGTATGTATGTATGTATGTATAACGTTAATGGTCAGAGTTGAAACCGACCAGGAAAGAGTTAAAAAGTGCCTAACACACGTGTGAAAAAAATAAAATAAAAGCAAAATATAGCATGTAAAGCTTTTAACTTTAAAACTCACCAGTTCAGTTGAATACGCGACCTTGATTCCGACCTTAAGATTTCAACGGGTGATTTTTATCAACTGACCGCCTAAAGCTTTTTATTTAAAAAAAAAACAAAAAAAAAACAAAGAACGCAACATTATTATTTTTCAAATAAATAAACAAACGCACAAGGATCAAACAAATGGCGTTAAATGTAACAGAAAGGAAAAGTTTGTAGAGAAGAAAGAAGAAGGAAAAGAAGAAGAAAGTTGAAGAGAAGAAGAGAAAAGCAAGCGTAACGTAGATGTATAAAGAAAAGGAAGAAGAAAATAAAAGCAAATGTATCGTAAATGTAAGGAAAAGTGTGTCGTAAAAGCAAAGAAATAGAAGAATAAAGTGATGAAGAGAAAAGCAAGCGTATCGTAAATTTAAAAAGAAAAAGAAGAAAACAAATACAAATGAAAGGAAGAAGGTATCGTAAATGTAAGGGAGAATGGGAAGTGAAGAAAAGCAAACGTAAAATATAACAACAGGGTTTTAAAATACATTTTTTTATACAGCCTCATATTATTATTATTATTAATATTAATATTATTATTATTATTTAAATAAAGGCAAGGACTTAAAATTTCGAATTTCTGGTTTAAAACGTTTTTTAGATGCAGAAATGTCATAATCGCTAATTTCTCATGTTGACATAGGTTGCTAATGCCGTTATAATTGTTGTATGGTTTTGCTTTTATCAAAATTTTTCACCTTACGGACGGATTCCTGTTGTTTTTTTGTTTTGTTTTTTTCTCTTAAATTCCACATATGGCTAGCAAGTTTGCTGGAGTATATAAGATTTGCTAGCTTAAAAGATGATCTGTTTTTATAACATCTACGCCTAAAAGAACCTTCTGTACATCCTATATACGTTTTATTTTGAACATTAATATCTGTTACTTCCGCTTTATAAATTATGGCTTCTGTTTTTCAAACTCCATTTAATGGGCATCTAAACGTATTTCTTAGTTCAAAGATCAGTGAAAATGACTTTAAAATGAATTCGTAAGTGAAACGCATGAAGCAACTTCTCATTTCAGGACAGAAAGAATGTTAGTTCAATTTTTAAAAGAAGTACTTAGGGAAACAAGGAATAGGTAAATAAAATGATTAAAGAATGAAATTCAAAGAGATACATACAAGTCCAGGAATGGTGAAATGTGCTAAGTGCCAGGACACAAATTTATTGTGGAAGATCTTGCAATCAAGGCACTTTCTAAACTTTTTTCCTATTAATGAATTATTTTCTTCTTTAATCAGAGTAACATTTTTTATGTAAAAATCGTGGCCAGTCTGTTACCGTCAAAAACTGATGCATTTAATCTATTGTTTGTAAAATGTCCTTTTGTGCACATATAATCTTTTAATTAGATTCTTTGAGGTTTCTTGAGGTTTCTCCTATGGATTTCTTGACAGTTATTACAGGCGATACAGTAAATTAGTAGTTCAATGTTTAGTTGATTGTTTGTTTATTATTGCCAAAATATAAGAAATTAGCGTACAGAATGGCAACAATTGATCGATGACCATCTTGTTTGTTGCCCATTGCCTCTCTGTAATTATTACAAGCAAAACTTCGTGAAAGAGGAGATCTTGAAGGTCGTTTGGTTTTATACGATAAAGTTTTCACTACGTTAAGGACAACATGAAGAATCGATCCAATTGTTTTACATTGATATCACATCGCGTACATGGCTCAAAAGCCACTCAAGTAAGAGACAGCATCTAAAGCAAGGTGATAATGCCACCAAGATATAAGAGGTCACCGGGTGGGAAATAGAAGGAAAAGACTTTCAGGAAATGGAAATCCAGTCTTAAACAGAAAACAGTTTATTCAAAGACTGGGGAGGAATGTTAGCCGGACGATAGTTTAAACCATTTACAAATATTGAGGAAAAAAGTGAATAAATATTAAATAAATGTCCAGAGTTTTACCTGAAGAGGTTAGAAGAGTTGATGTAGACTTTAATGGGAACTTGAAACCTAATCCTAAACAGGAAAAAAAAAATGATAAACGTCTACTCCCGTTCATGGAGGAGAGGGAACCGTACGATATGCGAAACTGTTTATTCAGGGAAAAATAGAAAAAAAATAAAATAAATGAATAAATAGTAAATATAATTTTGAGGTTTAGGCAAAGTCGTCAGAAAATATAGAGTTGAAATAGTCTATTAGATTGAATAAATCTATCAATTGTGTGAAAGAATTAGTTACCTATTTCATCAGAACAGTTAATTCCCAAAGAAAAGACTTTTTTTCTCTGGACATCGACTTTAAGAAGATCAAGTTCCTTTCAACCTGTCATCTTGAGTCAGTTCTATCTTTTAGTGGCCGGGGTTGATGGATGCCCATCGCTCTGTGACAGAACGTAATAATTACAATATTTCCGACCAATTTTGAATCACGCATTGTATACAAAATAACTCAGTCAAAGGTATTTTTCCGTGTACAATGAAATACCTCTGTCTGTTCCCCTTGTAGGGAAGACCATCAATAGCACACGCCATTATATTCTGCGTCGAATATTGTTTTCCTTAAATTAAATGACAACTTTGAAAATTGTTTGACCATTACAATGAGTTTTAAAACCTCCGACAAAGAGTATTGCTTCTCTAAGCTGATTATCAACAGACTTGATACACGCCTATAATTTGGCTTCATTATCTCTCAAAGTAGATGCTTCAAGTTCAAGAGCAAATCTTTTCAATTGCAATTTAGACAACTATCTGATTTTCTGCATCATCAGCTATCAACGGGTCTAGATAGTGTTGAATTGCTTAAATGGATGGCATTACTAATTTCATGTTCAATTTGGTTCATTAAAGTTGAAATTATGAAAGATACTGCTGGCAAAATAACCATTTCGCCAGGGGCTACCCAGTTTTTGCAATTATCATGGGAATCTTATAAGTTTCCACTACCCATCCGAAGCGAGATTCTTTGGCTTCGAACCTATCGACCTACCCTTCGCTTGCCCATCTCAAACAAGAGTGCTTTGCAGAGAAAAACCGAGACCTCATTTCAGAGCAGCCATAATTTTTCTCCAAACCACCATCGGAAATATGTTTGTCTGTAGTGTCCATAAAAAGTCAAAGTCAAGACTGGAATAAAGCATTTGTAGAGTAGGTATGTAAATTAGATTGCCTTGGGACAACTTGATGTTTAAATGTCTATGCCATTCTTTGAACTTTAAAAAAAAATTCTGTCATTGAATTTTTTTTCTGTTATTTTTTTTAATTTTATTTTTTTATTTTTTCTGTGTCATTCTTTGAATTTTAGTTTTTATTTTTATTTTTTCCTTTAGTTGGTAGTAGATATTAGAATCTATACTAAGTCATAACATAATATGAATTCTTTAGTATTCCATGGGATTTTTATACAGGTTAATAAGAGTAGATAAGTTTACCTGTCGTCTGGTCTGCACTCCTTCCATACCTGTTGAGCAGTAATAGGGTTCCTCTGTTGTTCCCTGATCAGGATGTGGTTTATCGATTCTCTGCCTTTCTTCTAACAGAGCCACAATTTGGATCTACGTTGACGACACTACTATTTACTCCTGCCTCGATAGTAAAGCTGGTCAATCCGACAAGGTCACAATTGAAGGTTATATACAAAACGACCTCAAGAAATCCCTTAACTAGGGCAAAAAATGGTTTGTCATTTTTAACGGCTCCAAAACTAAACACCTCTCTATCAATCATCTTAGAAACCCCTCTTTGCTTTATATTAGCATGGCTGATATTATCCGATTCTTCTCTGCTGATATAAAGTTGAAGACTATATTGAATCTATTGCTAGGTCACCTGCTAAGAAAGTCGGTCCACTGCGTCGGATAAGACACTTTTCGCTCTGGAATCTATCTGTCATATCTATAAGTCTACGATTCGTCCTTGATAAGATACAAAGAAGAATCAGCAATATTATCGGTCCCTATCTCGCGGCTGTAATCCCTCTTTTATACATGTTTCATTAAACACGACTGACAATGTACTACGTTAAAGATTTTTATTTATTTTTTCATCTGCATTGCACATAAAGTGTGCAAACAAATTGTTTGGGTGTTTTGTCCGAGCGCTTTCGACTATTCTTTCAGATTTATTTTTAAAATTTATTTTTAATTAATTCAAACTGAATCTGTTGATTTTTTATGTATGTATCTATAGTTATGGCAATGTTTTTTCTTGTTTTCCAAACACGGTAAGTACATTGGGACTATGTTCATAGATGATGTTACTTTTCCTTTTTATTATCAATGCTGGAATTATTTTAAAAATAAAGCGTTCGGACATACGAAATACAAAAATGCACAATATTCGAACAATTTTTACACACTTTATGCCCAGAAAAGGAAAATCTTATACAAACTCAAGAAAAGTT